TTCAGAGTGGGAATGCACCTACAATGTGAATTTCAGACCCCTCCATGATTTCTAAGTGGGAGAACTTGCAAAATCACAGGGTGTTCAAATACTTCTGTTCCTCACTGTATATAGAAATGGATAAATTAAGGACAGCTATGCCTGGAGGCAGCCTATTCCTACTTAAAAGCACAGGGACACAATAAAATCCCAGCAAAGCACAATAGCAGCTAAAGGCATTTAATGTAAAATAAAATAGGATTTATAGAAAACTAAGGATGCACTTTTCTTATTTTCTGCATTTTGGTTTAACTCCTTTATGACAGCCCAACACATTTAAGTGACAGCACAGCAGGTGGGCCTTAACCACTTTGGCTCTCACACTTGTTCACCCCTTATTGACCAGAGCAATATTTACATTTCTGCCATGGGCCTGTTTATCCAGTGATAACTTTGTCAATACTTAAAGCGGAGTTCCGCCCAAAAGCGGAAGTTCCGCTTATTTGTCTGCTCCCACCCTCTGCTGCCATATTTGGCACTTTTTGGGGGGGGAGTGCATACCTGGTTTTGATAGGTACCCGCTCCCACTTCTGGCTCAGTTTGCCATGGCAAAGTGAGTCAGCAGTTTGACCCTCTTCTCCCTCTCCTGGGAGTCTTCACAGGACCCAGAAGATTGCGGAACCAATCAGGATGTGCAGCACGACTCGCACATGCACAGTGGGCACCCGACTTTGAAGCTGCAAGCTGTCACAGCCTGGTGCCCACAGTTGAGATGTCTGTGCTGGGGAGAGAAGAGAGAGAAGTGACAGCTCGGGCTAGCAGATCGCTGGACCCTGGAACATGTGGAGTGTGTGTTTATTAAAAGACAGCAGCTATAGTTTTTGTAGCTGCTGACGTTTAATAAACACAAAAATGACTGGAACTCAACTTTAAGGTAAAAATGTAACACATATATTATTTTTTTTGCAATCCATAAACAATTAAATGTAACAAAACACATTTTTTCTTTATTTGAGCAGTGTTAGTTTAAAAATAAACAGTGTTACTGCATATAAAAAAATGTGCATTGTATTCTGTAATTTCTTCTGTTTTAAATTGACACTAAAATTATGATTCTGGTACAAAGCATTGCAAAGTTATTTACAAATGGAATAAAGTGGGTTTTTTTCGATTCTGTATTTTTTTTTTAATGTGAAATTTGTAAATATGTTAAACGTGTGAAAAATATTTGCAAACTAAACAAACACACAAAAAAAGTTTAAATATTATTAGTTAGTAAAATAGAAACTAAAAAAAGAATCAGAAAGAAAATAATAATTGAATGGAGAAGGAGAATTAGGTGTTAATTGGGGCTGATTAGAGTAAACAAAGGGTTAATAAGGGGTTAAACAGAGGAACTTTTAAGATAAAAAAAACAAAACTTCTTTTACTTGTCAGGTTGCTTAACCTGACTTCATATATAGATGGAATTTCTTCCCTTTGATCTGTAGATGAATAAACAGATACAAAATGAAACATTATTTCTTTTGAGCAATGTTGTTGATAAATATTTCCAGTTTGCTTTTTTGACACGTCCAGATTCTGCAATTGGTTAATGTCCACATGCCTCACATATGCATCACTGTGTTCTGGGAACACACAGACAGCTCACAGTCAACTACCAATGATCAGGAGCATGTAGGATAGGCTCATGATGACCTTATCACTATGCAGCCAATCACAGTAATGCATGATCAGAAGCCCCTCCCACCAGTGGCATCATGGCCTGCTTAAAGGGCTGATTAGCACCGCTGTAAAGGGGTTAAGTATACAATAGAAAGTGATTTCTTATATCTGTTCAATATGCTTGATTCTGGCAGAAAACTGGCTTCAGCAGCCACATGTGTGATAAAACTCATTGCTGATACTGGCATTTTCCCATTTGCCCTAGGCAACACAAAAATCATCTGCCACCAGCCCCCCTCCCCCCCCTTTCCCACCCTAGAGGTACCACCCCCCTGAAAAATGCTGCCAAAGTCAAACACTTGTTTGTCTCGCAGTAAATACGCCCTTGCTCTCCATCAAGTATAGACCCCCCCTCCCTCAGTACAGACCCTCCTTCCTCAGTACAGAACCCCCATCCCTCAGTATTGACCCCCCTCCCACTAAGTACAAACCCCTCTCCATCAGTATAGACCCCCCTCTCTCAGTACAGATCCCCCTCCACCAAGTATACTCCTCCCTCAGTACAGACCCCCCTCACTCAGTACAGACCCCTCTCCATCAGTATAGACCACCCTTTCTCAGTACAGACCCCCCCTCCACCATGTATAGTCCTCCCTCAGTACAGACCCCCTTCACTCAGTACAGACCCCTCTCCATCGGTATAGACCACCATTTCTCAGTACAGGCCCCCCCCTCCACCATGTATAGTCCTCCCTCAGTACAGACCCCCTTCACTCAGTACAGACCCCTCTCCATCGGTATAGACCACCATTTCTCAGTACAGGCCCCCCCCTCCACCATGTATAGTCCTTCCTCAGTACAGACCTCCCTCACTCAGTACAGACCCCTCTCCATCACCCTTTCTCAGTACAGACCCCCCCCCCCCCCTCCACCATGTGTAGACCTTCCTCAGTACAGAGCCCCCTCACACAGTACAGACCTGTTTCCATAAGTATAGACACACCTTACTCAGTACAGACCCCCCCCCCCCCCATCCACCATGTAAGGTCCTCCATCAGTATAGACCCTCGTCACTCTGTACAGTCCTGTCTCCATCAGTATAGACCACCCTTTCTCAGTACAGACCCCCCCTCCACCATGTAAAGTCCTCCCTCAGTATAGACCCTCTTCACTCTGTACAGTCCTGTCTCCATCAGTATAGACCACCCTTTCTCAGTACAGACCCCCCTCCACCATGTAAAGTCCTCCCTCAGTACAGTCAGTACAGACACTTGCCACTCAGTACAGTCCCGTCTCCATCAGTATAGACCACCCTTTCTCAGTACGGACCCCCCTTCCACCATGTATAGTCCTTCATCAGTACACAGCTCCCTCATTCAGTATAGACCCCCTTTTCCACTAAGTACAGACCCTCATCCTCAGTATAGACCCCCCTCCCACTGACTACAGACCCCTCTCCATCAGTACAGACCCCCCTCTCTCAGTTCATTCCCCCCTTCCACTTGTGCTAGTAGAGAGGTAGGGGGTCAGATATGTGCTAGGGGTCGCTTTGGGAGGGGGAGGGCTTGTGCTCTTGTGTGGGGTCGGATTTCAAATCCAACATCAACTTCTAGCATAGGTCTTCTCCCCTCCCAAGGTGGCCCCCAGCACATATCCTCTTAACCCCCCCAATCATTTTTTTTTACTTGTCCCCCCTTCTCGGTCACTTTGTCCCCCTCCTCTGCCCAGGAACAATATAAGAAACTTGGTACAGACCTCAGATCAGATCAGCACAGACATGCACAGCGTGTGTCTCTCCTCCTTCTGTGTACATGTAAAGAGAGGAGGAGAGGGAGGTGGCTTCAGTGCACTCTGCTGGGAGCCAGCCAGGGACAGAGATGTGGATCAGTGTCGCTGGTGCGAAGTCAGTGCTGGTGACTCTTACGATTGGTGCCACCCTGCTTCAGTTTGCCCCCCCCATAGCAGCGCCACTGCCTGCATTGACAATGGGCAGAGCTGAGCTCCAGCCGCTCTCAGTCCCAGCCAGGGGCGGACTGACAACTCATGGGGCCCCTGGGCAATTGGGGATCATGGGGCCCCTGAGTCCTTGCCCAAACTCAAAAAAGCCTATGAAAAAGGTACCAGGGGCATCTCATGGGGCCCCCCACTGACCCTGGGTTTCCGAGTTTCCAAATGGTCAGTCCGCCCCTGGTCCCAGCACTCAAATCACTCTGATCAGCGGAGGCTCCTTCCTTGTCCGTCCACTAGGCTCCTCCTCTCTACCGGCTCTGATCTGGCTGTGTGTGCTCTGCAGATAATAGCTCCTGTGTGTATTGCCATGTCCTGTGTCACTTCTGCCGGGGGGGCGGTGCCGCCCCCCTGAAAAATGCAGCCCAAGGCAAGCGCCTTGTTTGCCTCACGGTAAATACGCCCCTGTTCTCATGGCATACCCAATACTTATCATCTGCAACAGGTGGCCACTTCTAGGTATGGGATCTGCATATCATTTCATTATAGATTTAGTAGGATGCATGGTTCTTCCAATTCTGCTGTAACAAGCTGACTGTTGCCTGTTATCATACAGCTTCGATCACACAGTTCCAACCTTCCAAGGAGGTCTGTTTGCTAAAAAAAATGTGAGTTAATTTGGCTCAATAGCTCAATATGTTTTTACAGCAATGGAGTGATACCACTTTGTGATGTCTGTTGTTGAACACCCCTTTTTGGAGTTTGCTTATATGACTGCATGTTTTATGATTCATGTACATCTTAATATGCATAGTGTGCAGGTGGCTTATCCCTCTTGGGTCTGCTTTTGTAAGATGCAAAAGCCAAGCGTGCAAGTTTTAGGAAATTATTTAAATGAATGCCTTTTTGATTCACCACTGAAATCTAGTTAATTTCCATCCAGGACTTTTTTTACGCTCAATATATAGCTGTGCTGTGTGCTCAGTATATTAGGCCATTGGTTCTTTTGAGCTTGTCTGCAGATTATATTCCAGTAGCATCCTACAGTATTTGGTTACTCTTTGGGATTCTGCCTGGATTTGAATTTATGAGTAGTTCATTTATTTTTTAGTGTTTTGCTTAAAGTGTTACTGAACCCACAACAGTAAAATCAGTCTGTATATGCAGTAAAGCATGCTGGTTATACTCACTATGGAACCTAAGGGATTAATCCTCTGTATTGTGTAAAAAGGCTGTTTGATCCTTTCTTCTCTGTTCTTCCTCTTTTTCAAGTGACTACCTCTTATCTCCAGACTGAACCGTAGGCATGAATATGCTCAGTTTGGTGTGTATTGCTAGAAAGGTTTTTTATTTTCTTTGGAGAGTGCATGTGATCAGCACAAGGCCAATCAGCACTGTCCAGACAGAGGTCAGGGGTTCTGCTTCCTCCTAGAGTAAAATGAAAACTCCTTCTTCAAGCTTTAACCAGTGCTTGGCTGGACACTGATAGAAGTCACAAGACTGCTCTAACTGCTGATGAGAAAAGGTATTTCGCAGTTTATAGTTAATAAATAATTGCATTTCCATGTTCCGTGTACTGTGGGAGACCGGATATAGTGAATGCAGGGTCCTGGGTTTAGTAACATTTTAAGATAACCTGATATACTGAGTGTGTCTATAAATGACACATTTTGATTGAAGTACAGTATTTCTTTATTTTTTTTTTTCATTATTGTTGAAAATGTTATTCTACTCAGTTCCTCCCTTGTGAAATATAATTTGTGTACATTATTGATTTTCGTTTTTGAGTTCTTTTAGGACACCTGAAGCTCTTCATGTATTGTTGCTTCCATTTTTGTTTTTGAGTCAGGGTTGTCCCCTGTTCTCGATGTTTCCTCCTCACCCCCACCTTTTGTTTTTGTGGGTTTTTTTTTGTTGCAGATTGTTTTTTGGTTGGACCTGTTTTTCTCTGGGGAATTGTTTACCTCCTTGGTTATCGAATTCTAATGAAGCTCACAGGGGCGGACTGACAACTCATGGGGCCCCCGGGCAATAGGGGATCATGGGGCTCCTGTGTCGTTGCCCAAACTCAAAAAAGCCTATGAAAAAGGTACCAGGGGCATCTCATGGGGCCCCCTACTGACCCCGGGCCCTCGGGCAGTGCCCGGGTTTTCAAATGGTCAGTCCGCCCCTGGAAGCTCATAACTTCTTGGAGTGAGCTGGCAGCACAGTGCCTCCTTTGCATTGAAATCCTAAATGTTATCAGCCCTGCCCAGATTACCTCTGCAAAGTAGAGAACACCTCCTCCCATGTTATGTTATGGAGACCATTCGTAATTAGGAGCAAGTAGCTAAGATTGACAACACTACTCCTTGATTGATATGGTACAGTGAGTGAGTGCTGTCATCCTAGGATGAGAAATGTGTTACACCAGGTAAAAAAGGGAAAAAAAATCGATCGAATACAGCCACCATATCTATGGACTAGTAGGGTGCCATATATTACATTTTAGATGCTGTTCAATTTAGATTTTTGGGTTGGTGGTTTCTCTACATACGGGAGATTAGGAGCTATTTCTGAACAGAAACAAGCAAAACAAAAACATAAAGCAGATATACAGAATGCTGAACTGTATCCAAGAGGTAAGAAGGAAATTGCAGGTGTTATTAAGAACAGTTGGAATGAAAAAAGAAATAGGAGAGAGCCAGCTCTGGAGGCAGCAAGCAAGCCTTGGATAACTAGACATTCCTCTGTGTTCTCACATTGCTGCAGTGAGGAATTCTGACACCTTGTTTAGGAAGATGTATTGTCCATTGCAATGGGCACTCACAGCAATTTTAAGAAAGCTTTTAGAGCCCTTATTAAATATTCAACATGCCCGTCGCTGGTTCCTATTAATACAAAAGACATCTTGTTTAATGGGGTCTGCTTTGTTCAAGGTTTCACTTGCAATATATAGTGTAGAGGAATTTTGCTCTAAACTTATTCACACTGGACAATGACTGGCTACTTCTGTTAAGGTCTTTTGAGGGTCATTTAATCAAATAGTAACTGTTCTTCTCCAAACCTTTGTTCGCTTGGGTGATATGTAAGAGTTAAAGTAATTGTTATGAAAATCAATAGAAATGGCTTGAGTAGATCCGCTGTTCAGTGCTTGCAGAGTACATTTGAATTTCAACACTATAGCATGAGAAGTCTTGTGTCATACTGAAAACGTCAAATATCCTAGCTGCATTGGGTTTACTCAGAAAAGTAGAGTGAAAAGCAGTGGTGATGTGCAAAAGTGCAAAAACTCATAGCAATTAACTGGATTTCAGTTTATCATTCTTAGATTATGTAATGAGTAATAAATCTGAGTGGATCAGTGTAGTGACTGAAAAATAAACTGGTTGTCACAGACTACTGTAATTTGTACGTTATTGTTTTATTTGTTACATCTAAATCTTCTTGAATGCGATTCTTCTTTGAGAACCTTAGCAGTCTGTGAACTGTATAACACTATATAGTACACATTCTTGAAAATAAATGGAGAAGTATCAGTTTCTATTTTATGCATTTCTATGCTTGTGTGTGTCTTTGTGACATTGTAGCTAGCAAACAGCTATGTTCATTCTTTTTCCAGTAAAAATGTATTAAAAGTTTACATACAACGTAGAAAATAAAAAAAAATTTAAAGGCCTTCAGCCTGTAAGTGGCCCAGTTTGAGGTATCCATCCACAAATGGAGGGACGATAGCGCATGGATGTCACTCCACTTCCTCAAACTCAATCTTTCCAAAACGGAGCACATACTATTTCCCCCAGCCCGTGCCCCCTCCCCTGACTTCTCCATCAAGATCAATAATACAATCATCAGTCCCTCCCCTCATGCCAGGGTGCTAGGTGTAATCCTAGACTTCCATCTGTCCTTTCAGCCCCAAATCCAATCACTGTCCAAATCTTGTAGACTTCACCTTGTAGACAACATCTCCAAGATACGCTCTTCTTAACCTCGGAAACTATTAAGCAACTTATTCACTCCCTTGTCATATCACGTCTTGACTATTGTAACTCCCTCCTCATTGGCCTACCTCATCGCAGACTATCCCCTCTTCAGCCTATCATGAATGCTGCTGCCAGACTCATCCACCTTACTAACCGCTCTGTATCTGCCATTCCTCTCTGCCAATCCCTCCACTGGCTTCCCATTGCCCAACGGATAAAATTGAAAACACTAACAATAACGTATAACGCCATTTATAACTCTGCCCCAAATTACATCACCGATCTTGTCTATAAATATTACCCAAACCGTACTCTCCGCTCCTCGCAAGACCTCCTACTCTCTAGTTCCCTTGTCTCCTCCTCCCATGCTCATCTCCAGGACTTCTCCAGAGCTTCCCCCATCCTCTGGAACTCTCTACCACAATTTATCAGACTATCACTTTCTCTGCTCACTTTTAGGCGATCTCTGAAAACCTATCTTTTCAGGGAAGCCTATCCTGCCCTCAGCTAATAATGGAATCTTCTATTCTTCCAACCAGTCCATCCCCCACAGTTACTACCTTTTGTACCACTAGCCCCTCCCTCCTAGATTGTAAGCTCCAAGGAGCAGGGCCCTCAAATCCCTCTTGTATTGAACTGTATTGTTGCTGTATTGTCTCCCGTTATATTGTAAAGTGCTTACTAAACTGTTGGCGTTTTATAAATCCTATATAATAATAGCGCCTCACAGGCGGTATACAGTGGGTACATAGAAATTAAGACAACAATCAACCTTAAAACAAACCAAGTGGTGATCATAAAGTACTAAGGAAAATTATCAACAGAAATTCTATCATATCATTAGCAAGGTTGCAATAGTGTGATAGAGCTAGGCGACAAGGGGCATGGGCATGAACAGCTTAGCTTACCCCTTGCAGAGCAGAGCACATCTTCTCCTGGCATACAATCAAAGTCAAATGAGTTTATAAAGCTGAACTAAATTCCCAAAGCAAAGCAATCCTAAAAAACTGAGTAAATAAATACTGTGAACTGGGCCTCTGATAGAAGCCATGCTTCCAGACACATAATTTAATCTGTATCTGTGAGCTGCTTCATTACTAGATGTCCTTATCTCAATGGTCTTAATAAATTGCGCAAGTTCTTTTATCATCTTGGGCTCTGATTATGATATTCCCACCTGGGATTGACAAAAAGGCGCTCCTTTTGTTGACTTATCCTTTGACCTGACCTGCTATTCAGCTTTCCAGTGTATCACCTGACATGCTTTCTTTGTGATCTGCTCTTAGACCTTTGCTAACTTTTTGTGGCCTTAGGTGTCTGCTGGATTCTACTTACTGCTTTCTGCCTTAGACCCCATTCACACTTGAGCATTTTTCAGCTTGTAGCTCGACAAGGAAATTCCTATTATTCCAATGGCCTCTGTTCACACTTGAGCGTTCTGTCATCTGTCAGTCAAAAAAGTACTTGCGCTACTTTTCAGGCAGGTCTGAGCGTTTTGTCCCCATAGACTCTGAACAGTGGGAATGAGTGTTTTTTCAAGCATTTTTTAAACCGTTTTTTGGTTTCGGGTGTTTTCAGCTGAAACAGCAGCTATTTCTATTGGCCACAGCAGAAATAAATCAAAAATGCCTGAAAATACACCTGTAATATTTGCAAACCTGCTTAAAAAAATGCTCAAAAACTCCTGAAAAAAGCACTTGAAAAAACGCCTACAAAAATGCTCAGCTCAGTGTTAAGGTAGCCTTATACCTCTGCTGCCTGTCTGTTGGCTTGTACCCTTGATATTAATCCTGTCTCCTGAGCTGATAACTTCAAATTAAATAAACTGAATTTAAAAAAAAACTTCAATCCTCTACTTTGATTCCATCTTCTGAATTGGTACACTTGTTTCTCGGCTATGACCAAGCGCGACTCATATTCTATGTTCCCGTCACCTGCTTTGGTACCCCAACGTTCCAACTGTGTCCAGTTATCTACTGTTGCCTGATCCTTGCCTGAGAGAGAGTCCTGTAACACTGGCCTTGTGCTACTTCGTGCCCATGTGTACTCTGTGAATTTGTTCTACTCCGTGCCCTTGTGCCTGTAACACTTGTGCACTTGTGCTACTTCGTGCCCATGTGCTACTCTGTGCCTTTGTTCTACTCCGTGCCCTTGTGCTACTCCGTGCCCTTGTGCTACTCCGTGCCCTTGTGCTACTTCGTGCCCATGTGCTACTCTGTGCCCTTTGTTCTACTCCGTGCCCTTGTGCTACTCCGTGCCCTTGTGCTACTCCGTGCCCTTGTGCTACTCCGTGCCCTTGTTCTACTCCGTGCCCTTGTTCTACTCCGTGCCCTTTTGCTACTCCGTGCCCTTGTTCGGCTCCGTGCCCTTGTGCTACTCCGTGCCCTTGTGCTACTCCGTGCCCTTGTTCTACTCCGTGCCCTTGTTCTACTCCGTGCCCTTGCTTTGCCTGTGGACACTTATAGGGCTGTTGCTAAGGGGGTGCAAGAGAGGAACCCTCACAAACTCAGCCACAGCTGATTAACTTATAGTATTAACTTACACTGGTTAACTTATAGTTCTCTGGGAGTGTATTTTTTTAAATGCAAGTTTTACTTGCAGTCTCTGTACAACAGAACTTGGACTGAGAAAAGGGAAAGCAGTACAATATATGCTGATGTCAGAAAAAAGCAGA